TTTATCCTTTATGCAAATCAAAGGTTGTCCTTCGTCTGCCGCTTCTCAAGTTGTCGTGCATTGCTAGCCGAGCTGAACACTGAATTCATTGAATGCTGTATAACACACAAAAAAACTGAAAGTTTTATTCCAAAAGAATTCGAAAAGTTTACAAAAACTCCAAATCATCTGAAAAAGGAAGTCAGAAGAGAAACTTACAAAAAAAATCTTTTGAAAACTTTCGCAATATTGCGGTGTCAGACACCTTCTTCAGATTTACATTCTCAATAATTTGAAATATTACCAATACTGAGTTGGTTATTCTGGTGAAAAAGGCGTTATTCTAATAATTTACAAAATTAATGTCATCAGAATTTGCAGTAGAATGATTTTTTCTGGTTTGAAGGGAGTGAAGGACACGATAGCGTTGAAAGGTAAAGCGATGGAGAATATCATCTTTGCTGTCGACGAGCTGACCGAAAAGGAGAAGTGGGCGATCAGTTACAATAAATCAGAAATGATTCTCAAATGCTCGTTCAATGGACAAGAATGCAAAGTCGATGAGTGAGTAGCAGTAAGTATGATTTTTGTAAACGAAATTCTTAATCTTTCAGTTGGGGGATTTGTACAACAGGCGTTTTTACACTTAATCGAGAGGGAGAGATTTTGCTGTGAAAATTCCCTCAATATGCGCCATGAATTCGACTTACATTCATAATCGTAGTATTGCTTTGTAGCAAATTTATTCCTTACAAATAGACCTTTTCGATTACCAACACAGCCGTTCCGTTCAGTCATTCAAATCTGGTATGAACGAATGCAACGTCTGGTTAGCTTGGCTGGGTTAGAAACTTCAAATTGCGCTAGTATAGCTACCATGACCCTAACCATTATTCTCATGTCATTTTGCGCCTGTAGTCAGAAAAAAAGATAGCTCTGAAGACACTTTCCCTTCGATCCGCTCAGGCCAACCAAGCTGTCCATTTTCCATTGTCGGTAAGTTGAAAGCAGCCTCTTCTGGGAGGATGGACACACTGTCCTGCACCCTTTGTGTCCCACAGGTATGTCTGCAGTGCTAACTTAGGCGCACATAAAGTATTACCAACGAAAATCATGCGTGAAATTGTTTTTTAGCACTATTTACCCTTTACTGCCCCACTCCTCAAGAACTGAGCCGGATTTTGATCGAAATTCGTCCATGACTAAGGATTTGGCTAGAAAGTTGTTTCCGGGGTATTTCGACCCGTAGAACACGAATATCACCGGTTTACCGTTTAGCGCGAAACGCTTGGCGCCGGCGCCATCACAACAGTTTTGCGTGGGCGCCCGTAGCGCAGTTACACGTAGCTCACTTCGCAACGAACTAATGATATATGTAATCACTATACGATCAAGCACCCTTACCATTTCATTCGACCTTCGGTGCTCCGAGACGTTTCTCTGTTCCTTTTGTCCCGGCGCTTTCTGCGCGAGCGTCCACGTTCTACGCACTAACTAAGCATGATATTCGGTTTTTAGGGTCGGATTACCCCTGAAAGCAAATTTCTAGCCGAATGCACAGTCATGAACAATTTCGTTGAAAACCCGGCATAGTTCTCGAGTGGGGCAGTATAGGGTAAATAGTGCCAAAAGGTAAAATGACGTGTCATTTTCGACCCCTGATCTTGATACTATTTCTGCCACCCCTTACTAGGGAAGACACTGAACTTCCCATGGGACTTCGTATTGAGTCCCAGATATTTCGAAAAGCTTCAAACGCCGATTGCAAATATGAAACTAAAACTGCAAAACGAACCTGCCAAGGAAGTTGTGAGCAGTCAAAGTTGGCTAAAGTAAAGCGTTGCATATGAATTGTGCTGGACCTCAGACTTTCAGAGTCGCCGGAGTAGTGGTAGTGCCCTCGCTCTTCACCCGGAGGTCATAAGTTCTCCTTCCGTTGGAGTGCAAATTCGAGAGCACTACCACTACTCCACGGCGACTTTGAAAGCCTGGAGGCTAGTGTAATGCTTTACTTCCAGCCAACTTTGACTGCTCACAACTTCCTTGGCAGGTTCATTTTGCAGTTTTAGTTTCCATATTTGTAATCAGCGTTTGAAGCTCTATCGATATATCTGGGTCTCATCTCAAAGTTCCATGGGAAGTTGAATGCCTTTCCTGGTTAGTGGTGTTACGCCTACATTACAGACGCAGCAGGTGAACAGATACGAAGATTACATCGACTGATACCCCTTAAAAGGATTGCATGGCCCAAATTACTTGAAAGGAGGAATTCACGATAAGAACGAAGGTCAAAGAAGGGAAAATTGCATAGTTGGGAGACAGGCGGACCTCCTGAGGGTGCTGACCGACGCGCAATTGGCAGCGAAAGATTTGACCTCGGCGATCTAGCATGGCTCACTCTTGGCGCGGTTGGCGGGGTACGCCCACCGACTATCTAATCACTCGCCGCAGGTCTATACGTGGCGAGTGATTAGATAGCAGAGAGAGCGTAGTGTTGAAGAGGGCACAGCGATGAGAGTCGCATCAATGCGCAAATCAACGGGCAAGGAAGGGGTCCCATTTCTCGGGTTCGAAGTTTCTTCTTCATCCCTGCTCCACTGACCACCTCTACCCCTTCTAATGAGCTAACTTTTCATCGTAAATTCCGCCTCAAACGCGGCCATGATTCTTGGTGCAAGTAGGATGCGTGGCGCATCTCAAAAGTGGGTAATCAACACCGGAACTTATGTTTATGCTTATCATGAACAACTGTACATGGAATTGACGTTCTACCTTGTTCTATTATACGGAGCAATCTGACTACTCCTCCGAGTAGAAAGAAAAAAGTCTTGGAAGTGTTTCACTACACAAATTCTAGAGAGTTCAAAGCATTCCTTGATCCGACCTATGGGGCCTGTTTCACCTACGTTGGACGGGAATCCGCTGCAAATATCACTAACGAAAGAGCTGGACCAGCATACGGTGAGGCATTTCCCCTTTTGTGGTCCTGTATTGATATTTCATAACCTCCTAGGTCTGCGCCTCGAACTGTTCGTCAATATATCCGAGTACTTGCCAACAACAGAAGCAGCCGGTGTTCGCCTCACCGTGCATGCCATCGAAGAGCAGCCATTCCCAGGATACTTTGGGACACTCTGCCCCTACTGGATTTGTCAGTAGCTTTGGCATAAAACTGGTACATGGCCTAGCTGTCTCATATGTCACGCCTAGGACTGCTAACC